ATAGATTGCTATTTGGACAATTATAAGAGGATTAAATTTCACTGGTATCTCTGAAAGGCTGTGAACAGTAGCCATATAAGTGGTAAGCAATTACCAGGTACTTCCACTTTCCATCTCTTAAATCACAAAATAAAATTACTAGCACCGCAGGGAATCTGGTCTGTTCACTTCCAGTCATTCACCTTCTCTGAGGGTATTCTATAGCATTCATCATCATCTGTCACAGTAGCTTTTTTATGTATTTATGTATTTATTCTGAGACAGAGTTTCGTTTTTGTTGCCCAGGCTGGAGTGCAATGGCGCAACCTTGGCCCACTGCAACCTCCATTTCCCAGGTTCAAGTGATTCTCCTGCCTCAGCCTTCCAAGGAGCAAGGGTTACAGGCGTGAGCCTCAGTGCCTGGTCGGCTTGTCACAATAGCTTTATTATGTCTAAAATTTTGGTTAATGCCGTAAGCTCCTGGACTTTGCAGCTATTCAGCTACTGTTACTTTGAGTATCTTGTAGTTTTGGGAATGCACCCAGCTCATTCACCACAGCGCCTTTGCATAGGTTGTATCCTTGGGCCTGCTCAGGCAGCCTCTCACCCTTGGGCCTCTCCTGCCCCTCTTGCCAGGCATCTCCCACAGGTGCTGCTATTTCCCATTTACTTGTGTCTTCCCTCAGGAGGACAAGGATGGGGTCACCTTGTTCATCATCCCAGTTCCCCCTCCAACCTTTTCCCCCCAGTACACAGCCTGGCAGTCAATGCTGATTTGGGAGAATGGACGACTGATTCTATTGGTTGAATGTTTATTTTATATTTTATGATTTTATTTATTTATTTATTTTCAATAGAGTCTCACTCTGTCACCCAGGCTGGAGTGCAGTGGTGCAATCTTGCCTCACTGCAACCGCTGCCTCCCCAGTTCAAGCAATTCTCTGTCTTAGCCTCCCAAGGAGCTGGGATTACAGGCATCTGCCACTACGTCCAGCTAATTTTTGTATTTTTAGTAGAGATGGGTTTCACTATGTTAGCCAGGCTGGTCTCGAACTCCTGACCTTGTGATCCACCTGCCTCAGCCTCCCAAAGTGCTGGGATTACAGGCGTGAGCCACTGCGCCCAGCCAGTTATTTTATTTTATTTAGTTTTTTGAGACGGAGTCTTGCTTTGTTGCCCAGGCTGGAGCGCAATGGCACGATCTCAGCTCACTGCAACCTCTGCATGCCGGGTTTAAGCGATTCTCCTGCTTCAGCCTGTTTACAGGCGTTACAGGTGCCTGCCACCATGCCTGGCTAATTTTTGTATTTTTTAGTAGAGACAGGGTTTCACCACGTTGGTCAGGCTGGTCTCAAACCCCTGACCTCAGGTGATCCACCCGCCTCAGATTCCCAAAGTGCTGGGATTACAGGTGTGAGCCAGGGCGCCCAGCCTATTTTATTTCATTTTGAGACGGAATCTCCTTGGTCGCCCAGGCTGCAGTGTGGTGGTGCAATCTCGGCTCACTGCAACCTCTGCCTCCCAGGTTCAAGCGATTCTCCAGCCCCAGCCTCCCAAGTAGCTGGAATTACAGGCGCCCGCCACCAAGCCTAGCTAATTTTTGTATTTTTTTTTTGAGATGGAGTCTCTCTCCGTCGCCCAAGCTGGAGTGCAGTGGTGCGATCTCGGCTCACTGCAAGCTCCGCCTCCCAGGTTCACGCCATTCTCCTGCCTCAGCATCCTGAGTAGCTGAGACTACAGGCGCCCGCCACCATGCCCGGCTAATTTTTTTGTATATTTAGTAGAGACGGGGTTTCACCATGTTGGCCAGGATGGTCTCGAACTTCTGGCCTCAAGTGATCCGCCCTCCTCGGCCTCCCAAAGTGCTGGGCTTACAAGCGTGAGGCATCCCGGCCGGCATTTAAATTTATTTTTGAGAAGGAGTACGCTCTGTCGTCTAGGCTGGGTGCGGTGGCATGATCTCGGCTCACTGCAACCTCTGCCTCCCCGGTTCAAGCGATTCTCCTGCTTCAGCCTCCCAAGTTGCTGGGGTTACAGGCGCGCGCCACCACAACTGGCTAATTTTTTTGTAGAGATGGGATTTCACAATGTTGGCCAGGCTGATCTCGAACTTCTGACCTCAGGTGATCCGCCCGCCTCGGCCTCCCAAGGTTCTGGGATTAGAAGTGTGAGCCGCCCCCCGCCGGTTGAACATCTGAAGCTTCTAAAGCGAACTCTTAGGTTTCATTGGCACGAGGGGCTCGAACCAGGTCAGCCTTCCAGGCGTCAGTGCCCAATGCTTGGCATCTACTGACAGAAACCAGGAATGAGGGGCTGGAGGCGGAAACAGCTTGAAGAAAGAGGTAGAGGCCAGGGAGTGAAGACGGTGTCTCCTTTTCCTGGAAGTTGGTAATTCAGGCAGAAGGAAATTGGATGAGCTTCCAGAACACTCGGGGGGCCAGGTGGCCCCGATCCCACCTCCACTGCGGAGACGCGGCCCCTTTAAGGCTCCCGGAAACAGTCCCACAGGACCGGAAGTGACCCTCTTTATTTCTCTGCCTCACGTGGTGCGGGCAGGAAGTGACGCGCGTGGCCCGGGAGCTGCGGACGCAGAGGCCGACGGAGCTGGAGTC